ATAGCCAGATACTCAGAGTTTTATTTAGTAATTTTAAAGTACAAATCTACATGTAAAATATTGTGCTATTTCTGCAGTGGTTCCAGATTATGGACACTAATTGATTTTACTATGATGCTTATCCCGGAATTTACTATGTAGATCCTTTCCTTCATTGATGGACCACAAATTAAGTGACCACATGTTTTTGAAATCCGTGCTACATCAACATAGCGGGCCTAAATATGATTGGTTGATTTTAGAAATTATAGTCACATATTATTTAATATAAAAATTTACCATCACCTGACTTTAAATGATAGCGCAGCCTCACAAATAAGAACGCAGATAATAAAATTTATTGTATTCCAAAATACACACTTCAAATCATAAACTATTAAAATAATTTGAATAAGGGTTAGGTAATTCGGAAGTTAGCTATAGAGAATTCTTTTTTTAAAAAAACTGAAGGTAGAATTTCAATAACCAATTTAAAAATGAATGAGCAAAGTCAAAACAAATGTGGAAAAAAAAGTAAGAGGAAGATAGAACACTGTGATTTAGAAGGTTATGATGAAGTTATATGTGATTATGAAAAGAATGGTGCTTCTATTATATCTGATAGAGTAACAATACCAGAAATTAATTGTCATTTAAATTTAGTAGGAAAAGCTCTATGTAGAAAGCATTACAATAAGTTAATTGTTAATGCAAAAAAAAAAAAAAAATACTAACATTTGTTCTCATCCTAAGCATCAAATATATTTACCTACAGCACAAAAAGAAACAACATCATTTAAAAAGGCACCTGAAAGACTAATTGAATAATTTAAATTATCTGAGACAGCTGTAATGTGTTATCATTGTTTATTGGAGACTGATCATGATTCAGAGCATTTAGGCTCTTCAAATTATTTATTATCAATTAAAAGAACTTCAAAAAAAATATACAAAAATTTCAAGATAGAGTTTATGTATTATGCAATGATGTTATTTACTCAGAAAAAGAATTTCAAGAATTGGAGACTGCATATCATGAGGTGTGTGCAGAACTTGATGAAGTAAAATTAGGTAATTATTTTTTTTCTTTTTTTTTATTGTCAATTGTATTTGTTAACATGGTTATTTTTTTTATTTATTTTAGAAATGACTCCTCTTAGTAAAAAAATTAAACTAATGGCAGGTATACTGTATATAAGACAGAGAGTAAATAATGAAAAACCAATTTTGGAACCTGAAGCATTTAATAGGATGTTAGAAGAAACTGAACCAGAATTAAAAGGGTTTTTTGATCAACTATATAAAGGAACTAATCCAGGTTCTAAAAGCAATATGATTAATGAAAAAAATAAAAAAAGATTAGTTTTATTTTGTTATTTTTTGGCAGGACTGAATAATAAATTTATTAGTGGGATTAAAGCAGAAATTGGCTATCTATTGGATGGTGCAGGTGCATCTACCTCAGCAATTGAGACATTTGCAGGAGCAGGTATGAGTATTAGACATGAGACTATAGCAAAAAATAAAAAAAAGGATGCATCAACTCACATTGAGACAGTTGGAATTTTTGTTGCAGAATTTGTAAGTATATCTTCATAATAAATATATTTATTATCTATAATTAAAAATTTGGTTTTTTGTATTAATATAATAATAATCTTGATGTAGATGAACAATCTAGATGACTATCATAACATTCATACAAAACGACGAGCTGACACAACTATAACATCTGATGTTCATCATTTTCAGACTATTTTGTTGAAAGTAGCATCAGAAACACCAGCTACCCCATTTACAAATTTACTCATGGAAAAAAATATTCATAATCCTAAGTGTATTGATGTTGATCTGTTTGTTGAAAATGCAAGTCATTCATTTTTCCCTTATCTATGGTTAACATATAATGAGCGTAAATTTGCATTTTCTAGAGAATTACCTGAAGCAAAGAATCACGAAGAGCATGTGGAGATGTTATTAGTACATAGCTATGACAATAGGATACAACAGCATAGAGATGATAGAAGCATGAATAACACAAAACTTGTTAACTTGGTGGAGGGAAAATTACATTCCACTGAAGATTATATAAAAGCACTCCAAAATGTCTTCAATGTTCCAGAATTGAAATTATATCTTGAAAAAAATATACTTGTAGCACCAATGGACTACCCTGGACAGTTTTATGTGAGGTGTGCAATATCATCTTGTATATATTCTGCAAGTACATCTGAGCTTTCAACATTACTACTTCACATAGTTCCAATGATTGGTCCTTTGCATGTCTCTTTAAATAGTTGTGAAACAGTTTTTTTATTGAATTATGCTTTTTTCAACAAATTAAATTGTGAAGTATATTTAAAGAAGAAACTAGCCAAAAGACCAAAGCCATATAAAATCAATGTACTGCTTGAATTAGCTGCTTCTGGATGGAGTCTAATACGAAAAGAAGTACTTGCAAAGTTCTGTAATTGCAAAAATCCTGAGGTAAGGTATTTATTAGATCTTTTAGATAATGTTATACCTCTAGTTCTAGATTTTATCCAGTAATATTTCGAAGTGGATATTGGCCTGCATACAAAGAAGCAATGTTTCGTGTTTGGATGCTTTTTCACAGGTATGGTCATAAAAATTACAATAAATTACCATTAGCATTTTTTAGTGATGTCTTCTATTGGTTCACTACACATCACCCTATGGCATCAATCATTGAGCAAAATTTTCACTTGTTCAATGATTATTATGTGGAGAATTTTCATTCTTCATTACGTCTTCAGACTAATAAATCAATTTCATCTGAGCAAATTATCACACAGGCTAAAATAATTGACCAAACACGTGGTAATGGTAACAATCAATTTAAAGAAGTTTTCTCAGAGTCCCACAATATAATATATACAGAAAAGGAATTAGAATTTATGAAAAAAAGAGCAGCAATATTTTTGTTGGAGCTTCTTATGAGAATGTTTAATAATCATGACAATGTAGTAAAAATTGATGCATCAGGTAAGTCAGGCAAGAACAAAAAACAAAAAAACAAAATTCAATATAAGCTTCCAACATTGGATACAATTGTGGATACAAAACTACTTCCATTAGCATGGAGTATATCTTTTCATCCAAGAGCTGACAGATATTGTGATCGAGAAGCATGTGAATTGTCTCACAATATTGGTTGTAATTTAGCATGTGGACATTCTTACCATTATGAATGCTTTTTGTTAAATCTTTCAAGTCAATGTCAGCATTGTAATGAATATTTAGAAAAAGGTATTATTGATAATGGTAGAGCTTTTCAAAAAAGTTTAAATTCCTTTGATGAAAATTTTTTATTGGAAAAAGAAGAGGAAGAAGATGACATTATGGATGAAGTAGATGATGATGAAAGTATTTCTTTGAATACTTCTGTAGATACAATTTTAGACAATCTTTTATCATCTTTTAAAGATTTAGGAGTTGTCAATAGCTGAACTACAGTTTCTATCCATAATGATAATACAAGTTCCTATTTGAATTATTTGAATTATTATTTGTTTTATTCATTTATTTGTTTTATTATTATTTTCATTTATCCATTTTATTCAAATTATTCAAATTGTTGTTTTGTTCATTTTATTTTGGGTAATATTATATACAGAAAGGTTCTTTTTATGAAATATACAGAACCTATGTGACAAATAAGGATTAATTCTTAGA